AAGGAAGGAAGGAAGAAAGAAAGAAAGAAAGAAAGAAAGAAAGAAAGAAAGAAAGAAAGAAAGAAAGAAAGAAAGAAAGAAAGAAAGAGAGAGAAAGAAAGTTAACTGGGCTTAGCTGTTCTGAAACTCGCTTTGTAGACCAGACTGGCCTGGAACTCACAGAGATCTACCTGCTTCTGCCTCCCAAGTGCTGGGATTAAAGGTGTGTACCACCACACCTGGCTGTGAACTTTTTTTTAATGTTATGTGAGCTTTAGCTCAGTAATAAATGGAAGTATGATGGGAATGAGCATGATCAAAGAACATTGTGTCCAAGTATGAATATGTCCTTGTTAAACTCAGTGCTAGGTACACTGAATGTATGCCAATAAAAAAAGGAAGAAGGAGTCATTAAAATACTAGCCTATCTTGTGACTCCATTCTTTTAGAGCCATGTGACAGAAAGCTAACCTCCTAAGCCAAAATTATAATAGCAAAAGCATTTCACTATTAGCACTCCAGGAAACAATTTGAGTACAAAGTCAATAGTGTAATTCTCTGGCATAACAATAACAATAGTGTTTTGTTAACTGTCTCAGATGTTCCTAATATTGCCAACCTTCTGTATTAGTGTACTCCATTTCTGTGGATTCTACCAATCACAGATGCAAAATAATCTGTGTTACTCACTTGTAGTCCTAGTTACTTTGGAGGCTGAAGCAGAAGAATCCCTGCAATTCAAACCAGTCTATGCAACATAGTGAGAAACCACCTAAAAACAATCTAAAATGAAAGTGTCTGTATTAACAGTAGGCATACTTTCTTTCTTTTTGTCTTTCCCTAAGCAATATACTGTAACAATTTGTATATGATTTAGGTTATTGTAAGTCATCTAGAGATGATTCAAATGTTGGAGTAGATGAGCCTAGACTCAACACAAATGCTCCAGCATTTTCTATAAATAATCAAGTATTGTGGAAGATCATAAACCCAACCACATACCCATCCATTCTTATCCTATAGGCCAGATACAGCCCCAGAATCCTTCTCACCAGCATTCCAATCAAGCAGCCTCTGTCCCTAATCTCATCCAGAATAAGATTTGACTGAACATCTCTTCCCTGATTTTCTGACAATACATCAGGTGTAAAGTCTTCACTTCTGGTTGGGAAATCCTGTCTATACTAATGTGGGACATCTATGGACCAAATGGGGAGCTATATGGGATGGATTGGAAGGAGACATACCTCATCTTTCAATTGACACCAAATAGCCCAGAGCCAGCTCAGCTTACCTGAAAAACTAGCCCTGGCATTCTGTCAGTGTTAAGCTGCCCACACCAACCCCCATTTCCTCAAGAGCCACTTTCTAACAGTGACCTAGACCAGACCCCTTAAATGTGTGTGTGTGTGTGTGTGTGTGTGTGTGTGTGTGTGTGTGTGTGTGTGTGTGTGTGTAAGAGAAAGACAGAGAGACAGGGAGACAGAGAAAGAGAGAATGTACATTTGTATGTGTTAGTATGTTTGGGGAAGGTAGAAAAAGGCCACAATAAACTAACAGGCCTTGTTCAGAGAACTGACAAGGCAAAAGAAAGGGAAGGAAAAATTACAGAAATGGAAGTGAATTGAGCCAAGGAGTGATCCAGCTGGCATAGATCTGTACACTGTGTCTAGTTTATTAATAAAGTCGGCATGGGTGAAAAGCGCAGTGGTCATGATCACAGGCAGAGTCTGGAGTCAGGGGCTCCCCTCCTGCAGGGCCAAGTACAGCTCTGTCATAAGGACACTCCCTGGAGCCACAGAATATTTACAGCAGAAGCTGCCAAAGATGGTGGCAGGACCAAGAATCAAGAGGAAGTTGAAAATCAAGGGCATGTGTGGCTGTGTGTGCCCAGTGCTTACAGTAATTAAACCGTGGCTTTTCTGCATTGATCTGATGGAAATATCCCACAGCCTAAATTGCTATTCCCCGAACAGCAACGTAGCCAAGAACACCACACTGTTTTTCACGATTCGCTTGTTTGTAAAACTACAAAGAAGGCTTCGTCTGTTGTTATGCCAAGTGCAAAGAAGCAAACACCCCAGTCAGCCAGGGGTTGGAGAAGGAAAAGCACTTACCCTCCATCGTGTCTGCCTTCCTTCAAGAACCATCTAATCTGTCTGGAACATGGTCCTAAATGCAGGTGGGGAAAGCTCCAAGGAGAATGGGCTAGATGGACGAGAAGCTTTTTGACCACTAGATGGCAATATAGAGTCTTTCAACCGCTTTGTTTAAACCAGGACTGCGGGCAATTTTATTTCCTAGTTTCCATTATTTCTTTGAATAGACAAAATCGGGGAAATAAGCAAACTCACCAAAATTCAGTTTAGTCATTAAATCAAAATATAGGCTTATATGTAACTTATGAACAAGGTAAATTCATTTTTGCTTAAATTTAGCTCAAAAATACCTAAGGGGTGTTTACAGGAACTGGAAGGACACTGGGAGGGAACTAGGTCCCTGAACTCTAGAGGATGGCACCTCAGTGTGGTGACAGACTGCACTACCTGCATTCTGATACCAGTCAGGGAATGACAAAATGGAGATGCAATTTTATATTAGATTCACAGCTATTTTTCAAAATATAAATTTTTAATTCCTCACAAGCTACCAGGTCAAGGACCCTTCCAGACAATTCAACAGGTTTTTGTTTGTTTGTTTCTTTGTTTAAATATTAGCATGACTATACTGATGCTGCAAAATAAAAGTAGTTTGCTGCTGGCTGTATCATTTTCACACTTGTCTAATGCTGGAGTCAAAATTGAAATGACTAGCCTAGCACAATGGGATGCATCTGTCATCCCAGCATTTGGAAGGCTGAGGGCAAGTGGAGAGCCAGCCTGGGCTATGTAGCGAGACACTATGTCTAAAACAAACAAACAAACAAAGAGAATGACCGTTAGTGGACAAGAACAGTCAAGCAACCAAAAGTGTCTTGCCAGTAGTACCAAATGGGACAGTTTTGTTTCGTGCATGCCCTTTGCTGAAGTCTTTCAGATCAGAGCCCCATCAGAGGCACATCAGAGGCATCATAAGATCTTGCTTCTGTGGCCCCTTGAGAAGTAATCGCTGTACTGTTTGTTGCCCACAGAAGTTTTGAAGGTACACTGGATAGGTGCTATGAGATGGATGTAAGTGTCTCCACAGCATGATTTCTCCTGCCAACCATGGAACTGCTGAGAGTTGAAACAACTAAGATTTTAAATAATGGGATCTGTTTGGTATTAGAATCATTGAGGCTTAGCCACTCACATTTGTAACAAAGAAGTTGTTTGGAATAGAACTGAGACCCTGTGCGGTGGTTTGAATGAAAATGGCCCCATAGGCTCATATTTTGCTGGTAGAACTGTTTGAGAAAGATTGGGAGGCTTGTTGGAGGAGCTGTTTCACTGGGGTTGAAATGAGATTTGAAGTTTCAAAAGACTCCTGCTATTCTCAATCTCCTATCTATCTATCTATCTATCTATCTATCTATCTATCTATCTATCTATCTATAGCTCTATATCTCTCCCTCATTCTCTCACACTCCCTCTCTCTGCTTCCTTCTTGCAGATACATCTACATAAGCTCTCAGCTGTTCCTGCCTCTATGCCTTTGGTCTACTATCAAGGACTCTCTCTGAAATCATAAACCCAAATCAAACATTTTCTTTTTTAAGTTGCCTTGGTCATAGTCTCTTATCACAGCAATAGAAAAAAATTTATCTGGGAGGTGGTGGTGCATGCCTTCAGTTCTAGCACTTGAGAGGCAGAGGCTGGTGGATCTCTGAGTTCCAGGACAGCCAGGGCTGTTGCACAGAGAAACCCTTTCTCCAAAAACAAAACAACAACAACAAAACAGAAACAAAATTAAGACACTTGACATACTCATTTCCAGGCCCTCTTGGCATTATGGATTCTCGAAAAAAGGACAAGTGAGTCACCCACTCAGTCTGATAAAATAACTCCCAAATCATTCTTCATGGACGTCATGAATGAAAACAAAGCAAAACATGCTGAAAGGCTTTCCCAGGCTTCACATGGTCAAGTTTAAGAAGAAAAAGGAGACAAGAGAAGACTAGGTTAAGAGGAAGCATAAGACAGGCCATGGGCCTGCCCACATGGTACTCAAATGTAGAAAAGAGGAGGTCCCAGTTGAGGCAGAACTGAAGTCTGGATAGTCAAGACAGATCATGCAAGAGGGCCTGTCTTCACAGGGCTTTGAATTTTCCCAGCATTTACACATTAGTGAACCAAGCCCCCTCAAAAGACATCAAGCCATCCTCCATTTTTGCTATGAAATCCTTCCTTTGAGATCTCACTACCCCTCTTTTGACATACAGTAGCCCTTCCCTTTATTTGCAGTTCCATTTTATAGTTCCCATTACCCAGAGTCCACCATTTTTTAAAATATTAAATGGGAAATTCCAGAAACAAGCAATTCATAGTTTCAAAATAAGTCATATTACAGTATGTTGTTATAATTATATTTTTATTTAATTGGCATCAGGATGTCCCTAAAGCAAGTTTCTATGTTTTATTTTTTGTGAGACAGAGTTTCTTACTTAACCTAGAGCTTACCACTTTGGCTAGACTGACTGACCAGGCAACCCCCAGGATCTACCTGTCTCCATGCCCCAACTTTCAGGTTACAGATGTATGTCACCATCCCCAGATTTTATATGGGCATTGGTAATCCAAACTCAGGCCCTCATGCTTCCACAGAAAGTGCTTTATGCATGGAGACAACTCCATAGCCCCACAATTATTGTATTTTAGTATTAGTTATCATTAACCTTTTACTGTGACTAATTTATAAATTAAACTTTTTCAGAGTTCTTTGGATATTGGGAGAAGCATAGTTCATTTAGAATTCTTTTATATAGAACTGGTGCTATATATGGTTTTTCTCATGCACAGAACAGCTTAGATGAACCTACCTGCAGATAAGAAACAGATACTTTTCCTGTAAATGCAGCTTGGCTCAGAGGCCTCTGGACTGGCTGTGTCTGTCTGTATGTTCACATAACACAAAGGAAGCAGAGGCTAAGCATTGTAATTACAGAATAGTTTCTATATATAAAGAAAGTTACATGGGAGAAAAAATTGTAGAACCAGCTTATGTATTATGTTTAAAAAGTATTTATTAGACCATAAAACCTCTCAATAAATTTTTTGGAACTAGAAATATTAAAGACCATTTTCTCTCATCAAAATGCAGTAACATCAGACAAAAAATGAAAAGATAAGAAAAACAAGGATTTAACAGCATTATCTTTAGATCACAGAGCAAAGTACTGAAATTGAAATATGGAGACTATAACAATGAGGAAAATTCCACATTAGCACTATGTATATGATTTATTAGTCTCTACAAACTCACTGTTGAGAGAGAAATCAGAAAACAGTGCAGTGTTGTGTTGCACAGCTGTCAAAAGAGTTTGCTCATTCATGTGGAAGAGTAATACAAAAACGATACAAAGTGTATGTTAGCTCAGTCCTGAATCAGGGCCACTTAGAGTAGACAGAATTTTTCCAACTGGGTTAACTCTCCTCTCCAAATATTATCTAGACTTCTGTAGAAGGCATGAGTCCTAAACCTTTCCTGTCTCTTAAGGGGCAAATTTACTCTCAGTTTATATATGACAACAGGCCACAGGGCAAGATCAAAATAGATTTCTGAGACCAGTAAGATGGATCAGTGGGTTAAAGCACTTGCCACCAAGCCTAACGACCTGAGCTCAATCACAGGAATCCTTATGCCGGGAGACAACTGACTCCCACAAGGTATCCTCTGACCTCCACATAAGTGCCATGTCATGTGCTCCTATTATACACACACTAATTAAATAATTAAATTTTTGAGAGAGAAAGGGAGGGTTTCTTAGGGGGCACAGGTTTGGGTATACAGTCAATCACACTGGGGATAGCATAACTACAGGAGTGGGAAGCAGCTGGATTTCTGTCATACATGGCATAGGTTCTTAAAACAAACTTGAACCGTCACCAGTTAAAGTAAGGTGAAAACAACAACAAAAACAGGTTTGGCTACCTTACCACACAATGACAGAAAATGCCTTCCTTCAGAAAAAAAAAAAATGTTTTCTTGGGACAGAAGAAGTCCCCTAAAAATTCACTGTCAACTTATCTTCTTGTAACTTTCATGAATATAAATTATTTCTACTCAATTCCCCTAAAGCCTTCCTCCTGAATTGTTGCATCTCTAGTCTAAACATCCCCAGTTCTATTTCCCATCTGCCCATTGCCCTCATATTGAAGTGTATTAATCTTTATATCAACTAAAAACTCTGTGGCTAGATTTTAGTTTATTAAAACAGAACATTTCATTTATCCCACTAAATATTATCCTAGATTAAATCCATTACTCTAATCTATTAGCTTAATCCTGATCAAAAAAAGAATATTTATTTATTTTTATTTTATGTGTGTGTGTGTGTGTGTGTGTGTGTGTGTGTGTGTGTTTCACCTATATGTGTATGTGTGCCTGCAGAAACCAGAAGCAAGTTTTTGTATCCCTGAAATCCATATGGTTGTGAGACACCATATGAGTACTGGAAACCAAACCTGGGTCCTCTGGAAGAGTAGCCAGTGCTCTTAACTGCTGAACCATCTCTCCAGCATCCCAATTCTGATTCTCTATGATACTACTATCATCCCAAGTACACATCATCTTCAGTTTTAATTAACAAAACTTTAGTTTAAGTTGTTAAAATTTTTACATAGGACAGAGTCAGGAAAAGCCTTATTCTTCCATGGAAATTCATCTATCAGTTTTTAGGCAAACCCAGCTAGGCAATTATCTTTGTTTTGTTATAGCCAAAATGTTTAGTGTTATACTAAGAATCACTGTTCAGTGTCTCACTGAGTACATATATTCTAAGTTC